AACAAACAATCCCTGAAAAATAATTTCCCTTATATTTTCTGCCATTTTATTTCCCTTTCTTTGCTGGTGATGTATTTCTTGTGAGCCACTCTATAGCTTTGGTTGTAATCATTATTCAGATTAATGAGCATTAAAATGTGAATGTTCTAGAGTAAGATGTCCACTAAAGACTTAAACTCTAGTGACCAATTCCTTGTGGGCTTGCATGGAAAAGCTTGCAGTCTCACTGCTGTGTTAGCCATTGTTTGTTAGATTGCAAATGAAAACCACCCTGAAAGCTGCCAGTAGCTGTATCAAATTTATTTTTGTAGAGTTGGTTGTCTTACTTGAAAGGATGAGTCAAGGAGCAGGAAAGATCACTAATGTAACCTCGAAACAAACACACCATATTTCTGTGCTTATTTGTTTGCTAAAAGTTGTCCATACAAAACGATTACCCTTTTAAGTAGGTTTCTCTCATATTAGAATTGACTAGAAAAAGATGTAGTCTAGGTGTAGCTAACATGACATATCCCAATCTTGTACCAGCCCCTTTGTGTTATCTCAGCATCTGGTTCCATCATTTCCCCTCAGAGAGTCAAGGCAGTTGTCAAGGGAAAGGGCATGGCTAAAGCACTGCTGCTTTTTGCCAGTTCCTTTGTGGGGTTGGTACTTGATGTTGCTGGTGCAGACCTGAGGCTGTTCTCAGACAAGGGTTCAAATTGAACCACACAGCTCTATCAGTCAGAAGTGTACAAGGAATAAAACCACCCTGCTCAAGTCCTGCACTGTGCCAAACTGTGTAAAAGGTGGTTATTTATTGTTATAGGTATATCATCAGGTAACAACACCAGTAAATATACTTACATAAGTATAGGAGTACTTGTGGCACCTTAGAGACTAACCAATTTATTTGAGCATAAGCTTTCGTGAGCTACAGCTCACTTCATTGGATGCATACTGTGGAAAGTACAGAAGATCTTTTTATACACACAAACCATGAAAAAATGGGTGTTTACCACTACAAAAGGTTTTCTCTCCCCCCACCCCACTCTCCTGCTGGTAATAGCTTATCTAAAGTGATCACTCTCCTTACAATGTGTATGATAATCAAGGTGGGCCATTTCCAGCACAAATCCAACCCTGGGGATAAGCTATTACCAACAGGAGAGTGGGTTTGTGGGGGGGGGGGGGAGAGAAAACCTGGATTTGTGCTGGAAATGGCCCACCTTGATTATCATACACATTGTAAGGAGAGTGATCACTTTAGATAAGCTTTACCAGCAGGAGAGTGGGGGGGGGGGGAGAAAACCTTTTGTAGTGGTAAACACCCATTTTTTCATAGTTTGTGTGTATAAAAAGATCTTCTGTGCTTTCCACAGTATGCATCCGATAAAGTGAGCTGTAGCTCACGAAAGCTTATGCTCAAATAAATTGGTTAGTCTCTAAGGTGCCACAAGTACTCCTTTTCTTTTTGCGAATACAGACTAACATGGCTGTTACTCTGAAACCTTACATAAGTAAGTATATTTGTTTTAGGTGTGGTATATACGTACTTGGTGCAGCATTGTTTATCACAAATGTGTTATTGCAAACAATATTTGAATATACACTGTTGTAGATGAGCGGGTATTATCCTTGCATACAGGTATATGGTTCAACATGATTATACAGGTGTATGCTGAAATACATCACCAGTCTATTGGTGGTTGGTGGACTGTTTTGCGCATACATGCAAAGTGGATGATTTCATATGATACTGTGATTATCGGAAGTTTAGGCTGTGAAAATGGAACCCCATATCTCAATGGGTACTTGATTTCCACCACCCTGGAAACACACACATACTTGATTTAATATAATACAAGTGTCTGACATCATAGTCTTGCAGAGAATAATTTAACGGAAAAGACAGACATTTGCACTTTTGGATACCTGATCTAAGTAAATAGAAAAAATGTACAGAAAATCAAGGGTTTTGTTGTATTCCTATTCTCATGCTATTTTATAAGCTTCAACCTCCTCATTTGTTGTGAAGTCAAAACATCTTGACATTTTGACAACTGACAGGGATTTTATGATTAAGGAAGACAAAAATTCACACTCAGATGCATCTTTTATTCGCAGCACATTAACTGCACTCAGTATTTCTAGTCAGTCATTGTTCACATCAGAAAATAGTGAATTGCCATCCTGTTTTTTCCCTTTCATGCAGCGTGATTAACATATATTTCTAGCTAGCTAGCTATCTGTGTGTGTGCGTGTAAACACCCACACACATCACACACTGTTGCACAGTAAGACCTTGATTTAAACTGACAAAAGACAAGGGATCCCAAGTTAAATCTTCTATGGGATTCACATTTTGAACAGACCTTCTGTAGCACATATGGTTTTTGAAGACAACTCCCTGTTCTGAGGTCATAATACCTATGTTAAACTAGATGAACTTAAGATGGTGCACCAATTTTACCATGGAATTTCCATGGTTTTGTTGGTTTAAATCAAACTTTTAACTTTATGGTACCCTATATTTAATTTCTTTATCTAATATATTTTTATCAAGTTTTCTCCTGATAAGTAATAATAATTCTCCCAGTTTTTTTATAGTTTAATTAATTTTGTCCTTGGCAAAAACAAACAAAAATGTGGGAAAATATAAAATATTGTTCTTTTAAATCTTTTTCAATCAAGTAAAGGTTGCTGGCAGTCATTGATGTCTTACAAGGTTCCATTAATACCTATTCCACTTTTCTATCCTTTTTCTTGACTTGCAAACCAAAATGAATTTTAAATAAATTTTAGTTGATTGCAGGCAAAATTGGCATGGACTCTCCAGTGTAAAACCGTATGAAATAAAACTAGAGAGAAAACTAGAGAGAAACCAGAATAAAACTGTTACTCCAATGACTTCTCTACTTTGTGCCTCTTACCTACAACTATGAGTGGAACTCATGGGGAGCTATTGGCAGGGGCATCTCTGTGGCAGGTTCATGGATCTGCAATATGCTGTCACTGGAAATCCACTGCAGCCCAAACCTGACCACTTTTAGAACATAATGCAAGAAAGTGCAACAACTACTGTGAATAAGATGAACAGAATTTGTTCTAACTTTAAGTCTTTGTTCAAAATTTTATACTATCTGTAGCAATTCTAGTTCTGCAGCTTCTAGATAAGTTGTAGAGAGATGTGCAGTACACAACTTTATATTTTCTTGATCTATATTAGATAAACAGTGGCTAAACATTAGCGACCCATTGCTTATAAATAAAAATCAACCAATCATTATTAGAGATCAAAAAGTCCCGCATGATGTCCATCCCACTACTAATGTAGGATTATTTTCTATATAATGTTTAGACACGTTTGCATAATTTTAGTGATGTCTGGAGCTGGATAGGAAATTTTCATCAAAATAGTTTTCCATTGGAAAACTCTGTTTCAACAAAACAGAATATTGTTCACAAAATCCTATTTTGACAGTTTTGTTTGGGGGAAAAAAAATGGATAAATGTTTTGAAAATGTTAGCATCTCATTTTGACATTTTCTGATTGAAAATTTTGTTTGTTTCTTTGTTTTTTGGTTGAGGACTATTTTACTAATTCAAATACTGCCTTGATTTCAATCAGCTGAAGGTCATACAGCAGTGCTTCTGGTGTGAGTAAGAGAAACAGCATTTGGTCCCCTGTTAGTTAGTTATTAGTGTAATAAATAATACCAGCAGCTATTTATGTACAGCTAAGTAAATTAAATAGAACATATTACACTATTATTCACTATTTAAGATGCCAAGAAAACCATTACAATTGTTTTTTTCTCTCTTTAAAACTTTAATTGTTGCATTTATCAGTTAGCAAGAGTGTCAGTGTGTTATACCATATCCTTATAGGTGAAGAATTCCTTACCTTCTCCTCTTCTTATTCTTATTCCTGCTGCTGCACAAATGCCTGATAATGCCTTCACCTACTAAAGATTCAGGTGTCTGTTTAGAGATAAAACTGTGCTTTTAGTACAGCAAAGGCTGTGTCACTTTCTTCTATTGGCATCCCCTGTTTTTAGGCAGTTCAGAAGAAAGATGCAGGTATGTTTACCAGAAATTGGAGCTGTATCGATTTCAGAGATGAAGGGTGTTTGGATCAATTTTCTTTTTAATTTGGGGCATTCTAAAGGTAAGAGTCCAGGAAGATCTGGGTTCAGATTTTGCACATCCCCCAAGTTTGAGGTGTTGAGATCTGGCGGTTCAGTTCATGCCCACCTGTGCTACAAAGTTAACATTTTTTTTTATACTTCATGTGATCCCCTTCTTACCACTGTGCATGGTGTGTGATGTGAAAACAAACTGATACATTGTCAGAAGAAGAACACAAATCTTTAATACAGCAAAAGCTCTCAACATGCACAAGTAATTCATTTTTCTTCTTTTTGGAACAGAAGCCTTGTTCACATTTGTGCCTACCCTAAACTAGTCCAAACCTATTTGAGTGTATGTGGAAAGCATTTAAAAACAATGCCTAGCTGAAGTTAGTTGGAAAGCTTTCGTTATTTTTAACTGCCACCCACATAAGTTCAAGTAGGTTTTGCATGGTTTATGATAGGCTCTGGAGGATATGAAACACTCTGTTATGAAAAGATGATGGATAAATTAAGACATTGAAAGCCCTAATATTTCATCATCAGTCATAGACTCTTGACTGTGAGAAAAATAATACTTTAACATATAAAACAATTTATAAATGTTTCCTTTCAAATTAGCCCATTGATGGGAAACATTCAGACTTTTACCATATTATGACTGTGGATAAGGAATAGGTAGTAATATTTTGTGATTATTCCTGCAGGAAACTAAACAGAAGTTCTCAGCAAAAGAAATGAAGTGCATAAAAGATGGGCCTGCACAGAGAATTCCAAATTGTAATCCCTAATTCTTCCACAGTTTGCATAAATCTATAAAATGTTTAATACATATGGCATATATTGTATGTAATAAAGCAAATTGTTCCTCATATGTTTCTCTTCCAGATGTACAATGGATGTTAAAAAGTGTACTCAAAGGCGAAGGTGGAGAGGAAAAAAAAAGCAGGAACTCCTTACAGTGAGATGATGATATATGGGAAATATATCAGAAGAGTCCAGAACTAAGTCTTATTCAGGTCTTATTGACTTCAATGGGAGCTGGATTAAGTCTATGGTGACTAGAGAACATAATATATACAATAGAGATTGAGGAAAACACTCCGTAAACTTTATATCCTTCATCTATGAATAAAATATGCCTTCAACTCAGGAATTCTTTCCTATACACACATGAACTTTTTTATTTCAATCCCCATCTAACTCCTTAGACAAAAACATCAAATCCACTAGGGAGATCTATAATCCATAGATAACATAGGCTGAAAAGAATGTCAGCATTTCAAATAGCAATTTATATTTTGTATGGTTTATAACATAGCAATAAAAATGTATCCCAGCCTGAAATGTTGCATTAAAGGTTTCCACTGAAGTTTGTGATTGTTTGTTTGTTTAGAATGATAAACCACTGGGACATTTTTGAGTAATAAAATTACAAAAAAATGTAGGGATGCAGATTTTTAAGACTTTTTTAGTGCATGTAGAACACAAAGATGTTTCAAAGTAAAATACAATTATCTGAGCCTACATCATTGAAAGTTTGAGGAAAGAAAACTTTGGTTGATGGTGTCAAAGAACACTGTCTGATACACAAGGACTCATTTCCCAGTTCTGAAGAAGAGCTCTGTATAATCTTGAAAGCTTGTCTCTCTCTCACTAATAGAAACTGGTCCAATAAAAGATATATTCCTGCGCCCTGCTTATCTCACAAAAGGTCTCAAATAACTCCTACAAACATATCCCACTGCTATGGTGGTAGTGAAAAGAACCTAACTCTATTTTGCCATAGATGTGGTAATGTTATGCCTTGCAGAAATTATTTGCACTGTAAATTACTTTGTATACACAAGTTTCAGAGTAACAGCCGTGTTAGTCTGTATTCGCAAAAAGAAAAAGATGCATCCGATGAAGTTAGCTGAGTGAAGTGAAGTGAAGTGAGCTGTAGCTCACGAAAGCTTATGCTCAAATAAATTGGTTAGTCTCTAAGGTGCCACAAGTACTCCTTTTCTTTTTGTATACACAGATTGACTCCACTCAGTTTCAGAAACACTACATAATTAACTGTGAGGAATGATCTCACCCACTTCTGGGGTTGTCTCAACAGCTGCTAAAAACAAACCAACAGGAGGACCATAAGAATGGCCATACTGGGTCAGACCAAAGGGCCATCTAGCTCAGTATCCTGTCTTCCGACAGCGGGCAATGCCGGTGTCCCAGAGGGAATGAACAGAACAGGTAATCATCAAGGAATCAATTCCCTATCGCCCATTCCCAGCTTCTGGCAAACAGAGGCTAGGGACACCATCCCCACCCATCCTGGCTAATAGCCATTGATGGACGTATCCTCCATGAATTTATCTTTTTTGAACCCTGTTATAGTCTTGGCCTTCACAACATCCTCTGGCAAAGATTTCCAAAGGTTCCAAAGATTTCCAAAGGTTGACTGTGTGTTGTGTGAAGAAATACTTCCTTTTGTTTCTTATAAACCTGCTGCCTATTAATTTCATTTGGTGACCCATAGCTTGTGTGTTATGAGAAGGAGTAAAAAACACTTCCGTATTTACTTTCTCCACACCAGTCATGATTTTAGAGACCTCAATCATATCACCCCTTAGCCGTCTCTTTTCCAAGCTGAAAAGTCCCAGTCTTATTAATCTCTCCTCATATGAAAGCCGTTCCATAGCACTAATAAATTTTGTTGCCCTTTTCTGAACCTTTTCCAATTCCAATATATCTTTTTTGAGATAGGGCGACAACATCTGCACACCGTATTCAAGATGTGGGCATGTCATGGATTCATATAGAGTGGCACTCTGATATTTTCTGTCTTATTATCCATCCCTTTCTTAATGATTCCCAATAATCTGTTCACTTTTTCAACTGCCACTGCACATTGAGTGGATGTTTTCAGACAACTATGCACAGTGACTCCAAGATCTCCTTCTTGAGTGGTAACAGCTGATTTAAACCCCATCATTTTATATATATAGTTGGAATTATGTTTTTCAATGTGCACTACTTTGAATTTCATCTGCCATTTTGTTGCCCAGTCACCTCGTTTTGAGAGATCCTTTTGTAGCTCTTCACAGTCTGCCTGGGACTAAACTATCTTGAGTAGTTTTGTATCATCTGCAAATATTGCCACCTCACTGTTTACCCCTTTTTCCAGATCATTTATGAATTAGTTGAATAGGGCTAGTCCCAGTACAGACTCATGAGGGGACAAAGCTATTAACCTTTCTCCATTCTGAAAACTGGCCATTTATTCCTACCCTTTGTTTCCTATCTTTTAACTGGTTACAAATCCATGAGAGGACCTCTTATGCCATGACAGTTTGCTTTGATTAAGAGCCTTTTGTGGGGGACCTTGTCAAAGGCTTTCTGAAAATCTAAATACACTATATCCACTGGATACCTCTTGTCCACGTGGTTGTTGACCCCCTCAAAGAATTCTAGTAGATTGGTGAGGCATGATTTCCCTTTACAGAAACTATGTTGACTATTCCCCAACAAGTTATGTTCATCTACATGTCTGACAATTTTCTTCTTACTATAGTTTCAACCAGCTTGCCCAGAACTGAAGTCAGGCTTACTGACCTGTAATTGCCGGGATCACCTGTGGAGCCCTTTTTAAAAATTGTCATCACATTAGCTATCCTCAAGTCCTTTGGTACAGAAGCTGATTTAAATGATAGGTTACAAACTACAGATAGTAGTTCTGCAATTTCACATTTGAGTTCCTTCAGAATTCTTGGGTGAATACCATCTGGTCCTGGTGACTTATTACTGTTTAGTTTATCAATTAATCCAAAACCTCCTCTAATGACACCTCAGTCTGGGACAATTCCTCAGCTTTGTCACCGGTTTGGGAATCTCACTTACATCCTTTACCCTGAACATCAGTACAAGGAATTCATTTAGTTTCTCCGCAATGGCCTGATCATTCTTGAGTGCTCCTTTAGCATCTCAATTGTCCAGTGGCTCCACTGGTTGTTTAGCAGGCTTCCTGCTTCTGATGTAGTTAAATAAAAGTTTTGCTATTACTTTTTGAGTCTTTGGTTAGCTGTTCTTCATATTCTTTTTTGGCCTTCTTAATTATATTTTTACATTTCATTTGCTCCTTTCTATTTTCCTCACTTGGATTTAACTTCCACTTTTTAAAGGATGCCTTTTTGCCTCTCACTGCTTCTTTTACTTTGTTGTTTAGACACGGTAGCTTTTTTTTTTCTTCAGTTCTCTTCCTATGTTTTTTTAATTTGGGTTGTACCTTAAAGTTAAGCCTCTATTATGGTTTCTTTAAAAACTTTCCATACAGCTTGCAGGGATTTCACTTTTGGCACTGTACCTTTTAATTTCTGTTTAACTAACCTCCTCATTTTTGTGCAGTTCCCCTTTCTGAAATTAAATGCTACAGTGTTAGGCTGCTGTGGTGTTTTCCCCGCCACAGGAATGTTAAATTTAATTATATTATGGTCACTATTACCAGGTGGTCCAGTTATATGCACCTCTCGGACCTGATCCTGTGCTCCACTTAGGACTAAATTAAGAATTGCCCCTCCTCTTGTGGGTTCCAGGACTAGCTGCTCCAAGAAGCAGTCATTGAAGGTGTCAAGAAACTTTATCTCTGCATCCCATCCTGAGGTGACAGGTACGCAGTCAATATGGGGATACCTGAAATCCCCCATTATTATTAAAGTTTTTTTTTTATTTTAATAGCCTCTCTAACCTCCCTGAGCATTTCACAGTCACTATCACCATCATGGTCAGGTGGTCGGTAATATATCCCTACTGCTATATTCTTATTATTCAAGCATGGAATTGCTATCCAGAGTGATTCTATGGTACAGTTTGGTTCATTTAAGATTTTTTATTCTACACATTACTTTACATATAGTGCCACTCCCCCACCACCACAACCTGTTTTGTATTTTTGTACCCTGGTATTACTGTGTCCCATTGATTATCCTCATTCCACCAAGTTTCTGTGATGCCTATTATATCAATATCCTCATTTAATATGAGACACTCTAATTCACCCATCTTATTATTTAGACATCTAGCATTGGTATATAAGCACTTTGAAAATGTGTCACTTTTCATCTGTCTCCCATTACAAGATGTAATTGAATGAGACTTTTTTTCCATTTGACTGTTTCTCATCAGATCCTACCTGTATTTTATCTTCCATCCTCTCCTCCTTACTAGGACATAGAGAATCTCCATTAGTAGATCCTCCCCTAAGGGATGTCTCTGTCTGAACCACCTGCTTCTCTGCACCCGTCGGCTTTCCCCCTGCCCTTAATTTAAAAACTGCTCTAGGACCTTTATAATTTTAGGTGCCAGCAATCTGGTTCCATTTTGGTTTAGGTGGAGCCCATCCTTTCTGTACAGGCTCCCCATTTCCCAAAGGTTTCCCCAGTTCCTAATAAATCTAATAAATCCCTCCTCCCTAAACCATTGTCTCATTGAGACCCTGCAGTTCTGCCAGTCTAACTGGCCCTGCACATGGAAACACAATGCCTTCCTGCCTAGAAGAAAAGGAGTACTTGTGGCACCTTAGAGACTAACCAATTTATTTGAGCATAAGCTTTCATGAGCTACAGCTCACTTCATCATTCACTTCACTTCACTTTCATGAAAGCTTATGCTCAAATAAATTGGTTAGTCTCTAAGGTGCCACAAGTACTCCTTTTCTTTTTGCGAATACAGACTAACACAGCTGTTACTCTGAAACCATTCCTTCCTAGAATTCTTCTGGAGCGACGTGTGGAAACTTGAATGGGCATTGTATCTATAGGGTTGGTAAACTTTTTATTTACTTTAAAAGAAACTTGTGAGCCAGTCTCATCTCTGGAATTCCCAGGATGTCCTATCTTTTCTATTTTTATCTTTATAGCATATCTGGCTTTATTTTATATAGTCTGAATATTATTTACCTCTCATTTGCAATCCATGCTTTCTTTTTCCCCAATTGAATGTCTTCATGAAACCCAGGCGTATTGTATTATTGCAAAGAGGGGGCTATTTTTGACGATTCCACGATGGATTTGTAGATTTTTCCATATTTTTAGATGTTCACATTCCTTATGATGATTCCTTTAAGCATATATGATAGTAAAACAATTTTTTTCATTTTATAGTCAGCATATAGAATAGTAGTGATTCACAAAAGAGAAAGAGAGGGGAGACACTTTACAATAGCTAGTGATAAGAGAGTTGGATTTATTTCTGTTGAAAACTGACTTATCGTATTAAGCCCACATAGATCTGTGGATAGCATAATCTAATATTTCTGTAAGTAAATACAAGTCTCAAAGGCTTGTACCTCTTATTGAAATCATTCTTAA